GCAGCCATTTTACAAGCCTGGAAAGAGTATGTATCTACAAGGCAATCTGTGATTACCAAGGACTGGGGAGGGAGGTGACATCAAGTGCAACATGAGGGTCCAGGTTACCCAGTTCTACACTACAGTTTCAGGGACGTGAAGTCAGCTCTAGTCTAAAACTATTTGATAGGAAACTCCAAAAATAAGCAATTCTAAGTAAAAGCTCACACTACCCCTTTCCAGTGCATCCATGCTGTATACACTCCCTACCTGTCAGTCACTTAACAGCCATCTAGGTTATCAGATACATTGTAGAGGCATTTCAAGGCTTGCTTCATGTAAAGCTTATTTTACTTAATCGACTCAAAAGTACACTATTTGAATAAAGCCCAAAAGCATAACAGATCTACCAACACAACATCAAATTTCAAATAAACAGAAACCAATATTAAAATAATTAAGTAATATCTCAGAGATTCTAAATTACATGTAGACCAAAATACAGCTGAAAAATAAAAACCAACTTCTTGGGCGGGGGTAGTTCTTAGAAACTGTACTGCAAAAATAAACTAAGAATTGAAAACCAAGGAGCAAGCTGAAAGATTAAGCCTCAAGATTCTTCCATAACTCAAAGAGCATCCCATAAGTATCTAAAGAGTCTTCCCTTTTCTAGAAACAACTATATGGGGTGGATTTTCTTCATATGTATCTATCAAAACAACATAATGCAACAGATGGAACAAACTGATATATGAGATTTGAGCTCCTTTGCATTAAACTCAACATAAGTAATTTGCGAAAATGCAAACACACCCCTCTTTTTAAAGTTTTATTAGTCAGTCCTCCAAATCCCTAGTTTCAACCACATTGGGGAAAATGGCATCTGTACTGACTTTTCTTTCTTGTCATTATTTCCTAAGCAATACTTTACACTTTTCACTTAGTATTTACCCTGGATTTAGTATTACAAGTCATTGAAGTGGCTTTAACATGCCTCAGCAGATATACTTAGACTATATACAACTACCAAACCATTTTATATAAGGGGCCTAAATAGTTATGGAAAAAACTGGAACAATCCACCATGGATACCATGTCACAACTGTATTTGTTTTGGAAAATAATTGCACTTTTTGCTCAAACAATGTTAGCATGCAATGGTTTACTGTTATTTTTAAATTTTGTTTTAATTTCTAACAGAATAGTAATCAATAGCTGGCACAAACCCAAACTTATAGAAGTATTGGTAATTCTAAGATCAAAACACCACATAAACTTAGGATTATTACTATCTCTTATAATCATACCACATTACAACAGTGACGCCTCCAACCTGCAAATGAAGTGTAAAGAAGGCATCCTGTCCCAAAGTAAGTGGTTCAGACTACAACTGCTCTCTGAAATAACAAGGTTCAATTTACAGCTGGTTCACTTTACAATACATGAAAGTGATACACGCTCAGCAGAAACTTCTCAACCAGGAATCCAAGGTTACGATATTTCTCAGGAGTCACAAAAAAAGGCCATGAGAATAGAGGATAATGATACAGGTACTCAATAAATTACATGAGAAACTAAACACTATAATAAGCTAAGCTTTGTGTTAGATGACTTCACTCAAGTGAAGTATTAATAGGTGTTCTGTAATAGGTGTTCTGAGCATGGGTAAGGTAGTCTAGGCTAAGCTATCATACATGGTAGGTGTGGTGTACTGAACATATTCTGGTTAGCTCCAGCTATGATCAGTCTATCAGCATGCAAACCTATCCTAAGTACAGGAATATCTGTACTTTCTAAGTTATTCAATCTTCTTTCCATTTTCCCATTCTCTCACTGCAATACTCATTAGTAATAAGTTCATGGTGCTGTCAATGTGCCTTTCTCAATCCTTCTAGCACAACAAAAAGAAATAGTTTACTATGCACAAAAATCTGAATAAGGGTGTCCCTATGAATAAACTTCACAGGCTTTATTATACCTATTTTTATTACACAAATGTCATTTTGTTGTTTTCTAAAAACATACTATATATACTTAAACTCATATGAGTAGAGCTTAATTTTACTAAGTTTATTTTTAGATGTTATTTTCTATTCTCTTCCACGCTCATTTATAAAGCATGTCAAGACACAAGAATATATACAACCTGGAAAGACTACTGCACAGACACTGAGGTAGAACAAGAAAACTGATGGAACAGCATAAAAACAAAACAGTACACTAATAAACATTAAAATACTGCCGTGGACACTCAGTTGGAATGCAAACAGCAGAATTAAAAAGACTGATCAAGTCAACTTTTCTGTTTCATGTGTCAAACACTTGAGGAATGATATGCATGGTCTAAGAACCTTTGGGAAAGAAAGGCAAGGCAAAAAAAAAAAACTAAATAATTGGCAAACATGGAAAAACAGGATAAACAAGTAACATTAATTTTAAAAAATTAAAGAAATTAGAAGAAAAAGTTGAACAATAGCAGGTTTTAAAATTAGGAAACCAAACACTGAGGAAAAAGATAAAAATGTAAAACTGAAAAATACGAGTACTATAAAGAGTAAGTGACAAAAGGTAGTGAGGGAAGAGGAAATATAAGGTGAAGGGGAATTTCCCTAGCTAATTCAAAAGTAGATAGTACAGAATATAATTCATAGATACATCTTCTATGGCAAGAACAAATAATGTGTACTCATAAGGAACAGTTACGGAAGTGTAACACTACTGTCATAAAAGGAAAAGAGAAAGCCATCCTGTGTTGTTGATGTTTCAACAACAAACAAAACATCACAAATGGATGAATAAAAGTCAAGATTCAAATGTAAGCAGCAAAATAGGTGTGTATAAAGAGACTTTAAATACACAACAATTATAAAGAAATCTGTGTTCTCCAACATCACTAGAAGTCTGTATAATCCTAAATATTTTGTAAATATTGCAATAATCTAATCTACAACAAAAAGAAGCTTAAACTCTAAAATCATATTATCAATAAACAATTATTTCGAATAAATGCCCAAATAAGTACCTAATTTTCTAAAAATTTAAAGTATGCTCCTTAGCAGCTAGTGTTCACTATAAAGTATTTTTAAAGTCAAAAATAAAAAATATAAAAAGCATCTAAAACAACTAAATTTCATAGATTTACTACCATGTAAAATGCCTCTACAGTTATCACTTGGTTAATAAACAGTACACAATAAAAACTGTTCCATTCTTGAATGTGAAGTTCAAAATAGCTTGCTCTTAAACGGCAAGGAAGCATCATAATACTGAATCAGGTGGAGCGTTCAAAGTTCAAGATTACCTTCATTATCAAGCCTTTCTATGCCATACAGGCAAACACTCTGAAAGCTGAAAGTGTTTTATCTCACAATTTAATGGGGGAGAGGGAGACGGGGGGGGGGGGGG